GACCCTTCAGCTTCTGACCCGCAAGGGATTGGGAAAGCCTTTGTAAAGCTATTCTACACTGTTCTTCATAATGACCCAACACAGGCTTATAAATTTTATCTGGACTTGAGTGTGTTAAGCCGCCCTAGTGCCGATGGTGTGATGAAGTGTGTGACAAGTGTGAAAGTAAGTTCTATTTACAAACAATGCGCCAGGAATCATGGTATTTTATTTTGTTCATGTTTACACCAATTTACAATATTTTTGGTAACTATTGAAACGGGACATAAATGAGTTGATTCTCTCATTGGACTACCAGAGTTATAAGGCTGAGATATCTTTTGCTGATGCTCAATTTTCATATGCAAACGGTTTGATTGCTTTAGTTACCGGCTGTTTGACTCGAAAGAACGATTTGAGGAGGAAATTTACGCAGTCATTCTTTCTAGCTCCACAAGAGGGGAGCTATTATGTCTTAAACGATGTTTTTAGGTACGTTAATGACAAAGAACCAGCAGATGTTGATGCCAATGAAAGCACTCAAGCTGCTTTGTCCCCAGAGCCTGGTAAGTTTTATGCATCAGTGTAGTTATGGATTTTCATTCTTTTAAGGGACAATATTTAATTGCAGTGGCAAATCATACCACTGCTCCTTCAGATAATGGTGATAACAGTAGGAAAGAAGCCAGTCATCAATTGGACAATGGCAAGATTTCTGCTTTGGAGAATGAGGCTGTTGCTGAGCAGCTAGTGCCTTTCAAGTGAAAAAAGTCACAATGATTATCATCCTATGTACCAGACTGCTTCGCCTAGAACTCAGGATGATGCTTCAAAGAAATCATATCTATCAGTTGTGAGTTCGTACATGAATACAAGTATATTGGAATGCATAGTCTGATTTGGAAGCATTACTTGGGTAGATACTAATGTTTTTCTTTTTCTAATAATTGTTTCAGGTACATGCATTGACGAAGAATTCTGCTCCATTTATTTTGAGAGCTCTACCTCCTGAAACTAAACCAGTGCTGCAGTCACGCAAAGCAGCATCACCTGAGGCATCAGCTCCTAAAAACAACAATTCCTTGGATAGGAACAATGACTCTTCAGGTTTTTGTTTATTGTTCTTCAAATTGACAAGTACACGTTGCAGTAATGCCACAGCTTCCCTTGTTTCATTCATATTCCTCATTTCCATTTGTTTCAGGTAAGAATACTTCCATATTTGTTGCAACTTGCCTATGGATGCAACAGAGGAAATGCTTAGCGAGGTTTTCAAAAAATTTGGACCAATTAAACCCAATCGTATTCAAGTCAGAAGCTTTAAGGTCTGTTCTGTTTTAAAATTGATTATGTCCCTTTCTGATATGTTATTTTTGGCATAACACTTACGAGCTTCACTTGGATCTTATTTCTTTAGGAGGTCAAAAACTGCTTTGCCTTCATAGAATGAGTCTGCTACTTCAGTTCAAATCGCTGCTATGGTATTGTCTTGCCTCCTCGTATCATTGGCCTTAAGTTCAGTGAGATTTTTGGGCAAAACCACTAATCCAGTCATTTGTTGATGTGGTTACTCACCTGTTTCATAAATTTGTTGCATCTCACATATATTATAAGATAAATTTTCATACTGTGTTGCCTGATGGCACCATCATTTCAGGCTTCTCCTATTCCAATTGGCAACAGACAAGCTAACATTGAAGAAAAGCGAGGCAAGTTAACGTATCTTCTTGCACATTGCACTTTTGTATTAATTTCTTTTTATTAGAACTCTAAACCGAATTAAGATCCCAACTAAATGAACTAATAAACAACTAGAGACAGTTCTCAGTAGTATCAGTTTCTTCCGTCTTGGTTATTTGCAGGAGGCAATAATGGTGGGAAACCAGTTCGTGGTGTTTATATAGAAGAAAATGGTCACCGAATTGACAATTCCAGGGGCCATGGGAACTTCAATGGCGGCCGTAACTTTGAAAGACATGAAAGGAGTGAGTTCTCAGGTCAAGCTCGAGGCAATAGTGGGCGAAACAGAGTGAAACTGTGAAAGTTAAGGCGTACATGCTCTATTTTTTGGGTAGGACTATAAATAAATCGAATGAATATATATTTATAATATATAATAAAATAAAATTAAAGTAAAAAATAAAAATATAATTTTATTAGTATAATTATAAATAAATAATAAATAAATAAATAAATTTTAAATGAATTTATTCATTAATATATACGAATCAAAGAAAATTTTATTCACATTATTAGTTCGTTTAAAAATAATATTTAAATTCATTTATTAAATTTAATTAATGAATATAATCTAATACAAATTTATTTTTTACTATTTTTTCGCATTGAGTTATTAATTATTAAAAAGTTACAGGAAAAAAGGAGGGTTAGTGATAAATTTAGAAAGGATTAAAAAGATAAGAAATCTTTCTTGGTGTCTGGTGAGGCTGACTGAAAGCAAAGAGTGCTACCTAAGCCCGAGCCAGCTCCTCTTTTGTCAGATGAAGACGTGGCGCACCTTAGTGTCCTCTTTTGTCGGAGAATCTTTCTAACGCCTTGTCTCCTTCATCTACGTGTCCTCCCAATCATCTTTCCAACCAACATCTCTCTTTCTCTACTTCTTTCCACTTTCCTCTCTCTTTCAAACAGCAATTTTTTATGGCTTTGATGCAAAAGAATATTTTTTGCCCTAAATTGTTATCCTTACACGTGGTAGGAGTTTGAGCTTCCAAATGAAACCTTTATCAATTCATTGAATGTTTTGGTTAATTATGGGGACAATTGAAAATATGAAATTTTCTTTTGGTCCCGAAATAATATAATACTTCATATTGATTCCAAAAAAAAATGTTGTGCTGTGATATAAATAAAGATTTATTTTTTATTGAAATACTTTTGCAAAAAAAAAAAAAGCAAGAAATTGGATTTCAAATGGAATAATATATCTCATGAACAATAGAATCAACCAAGCATCAATATTATTATTTCTCAAGTTCTTAAGAAAATAGAAAAGTGAAGAAATGGAAGTTAAAAGGGTGTAACTGATAATAGTTTTTGGTGAATTATTTGTGAATATATTTGATTTTTATTTATTTATATTTATATATTAAGTTTAATAAATAATTTTAAATAATATTTTTATGTTCATTTGTTAAATAAATTAAATATGAATAGAAATTTGTTTAATTATTTATATTTGTGAATAAATTAATTAAAATTCATATAAAATTTGTTTTTTATGTTCATTTATTTTTTGTTCATTTTTAATTTTATAATTATATGTTTATTTAAATTTATTTAGTTATAATTTATTTATTATTGATAAATATATATATTTTATTTATCACTATATTCATTTATATTTATTTATGAACATATTCTTTTAATGTTCATAAATAAATTTATTTAACTTAAACAAATCTAACATAAATCAAATACAATTATTTTATTATTTAAATAAATCAAATTCTTACATAATAAATAATTTTTATTAAATGTAAGTAAAATACAAATAATTTAAAAAATAAATGAACAAATTATAAATTTACATTTCATCGTTAATATTTCATATATTTATCTTTAAAAATTTATTTAAATTGATAATAAAATTGACTCTAATAATATTAAAAATAATAATAATTATTATTATAATTACAATTAAAAAAATTATTATAATTATTATTAAATAAATTTATATTAAATAAATTTTATTAAAATTAACATTTAAATTGACTATATAATAAATTTAACTATTTCTTGCTAAAAATATGAGGAAACTCAAATTCTCGAGAGGCTTTATGTGAAGTTAGAACGGAAAGGGAAATGGAAAAGGAGGAGAAAAAAGGAAGTATCTTCAAATTATCATCTGACACACTGCAAAATGTGATGTCACCCAAAATACAGACTTTAGTAGTCGCATTCACTCATTTCTCAATCCATTCCACCATAAAAAAAACAAAGAGGTGGGGACCCCTTACCCACTTATACATCTGTTTAACTTCCTCATCTTCTCGACACGTGGCATCCTCATGAACAACTTTATCTTTCTTCATTGAAAAAAAAGCGCAACTTGGCATCCTACCCCACCCGTGGACCCTACTTTCACTTGGGGAATGTGTGCATCACGCCCCTCTTCCTCGCCGATCTCTTTCCAGGTAATTTCCTCGTTTACTAGGTGGTCAATAATATAACGGCTGTTACTGCTGCCGCTTGTTTGCCCTTTTTTGAAGTCGTAAGTTCCGTTTAACCATTTTTAGCAACGCATGATCCCAACACCCTGGTAAGAATATAATCATGTCGTTGATAAAGCATTTCAAAATCTAGATTTAATGTCAAAATATTTTAAGATCTACATTTAATTTGAAAGAAATGAGCCTAAAGTAAATAATTTAGTGATTTACAAGGCATACCATTTTTGTTTTAATATAATTATATAAATTTAATAATTTTAAATATGATAAATAATATAATATAAAAAAATATAAATAAAAGATATAAAAATAATATAATTTAAAATTTTAATAAAAATTATAAATAAATTTAATCAAATTAAAAAAATATATTTTATATTTATGTATTAATATAAATTATAATACGTAATTTTTTTATAAAATATGATATAAATAAATGAATCATCAAATCTATAACTATATTAATAATAATATCCATTACTTTTTTTAATAATTATCATATCTAATTAAGTTTCAAAATTATTATGATTAAAATTGCATTTAATCATAATAATTGAATTTGATTAACAAAATCAAATAAGGTAAAGATTATGATTAAAATCCCAATTATAAATGAAATTGTAAGAAGCAAGTTCCTCTTTTTTTTATGTTATATTGAATTTATACAATCTAAATAATTAACTTCAATTGATTCATATTATTATTATTCAAAAATAACATTTAACAAAGCTGTCCAAACAAGGCTTAGGAAAACGGCGCATGATAGCAAAAGCAACGCCGCATTTTTTTACGATTTTTTGGATTGTGGGGAAAAGAAAGAGAGAAGAAAAATGGGAACACAAATGGCGAATTCCCAGACAACTACATCGAAACGACACGTGGCCACTGTTCCCTTGCTTTATTAATTATCGACACGTGTTATTACAACCCACCCCCGGCTGTTTCCCAACTTGTTTTAAAACACGCCAAAAAGGCAATCCTTCAAAATATTATGTCAGTCGCAACCACGTGTCGTTTTGATGTTTCTCCGATTGCCACTTGTCTCGTCCCAAATACTTTTCCTCGTCATTGTCCAAGGGCATTTTCGTCACTCAATAAATGCTTCCTCTCTTTTCCCCCATTTCCCAAACCCATCAGAGAAACTCTGAACTCTCTCTTTAGTAACATCCAATCGACTAATTTCCACTGAACTTGAAAAAAATTCAATAAATATACAATTTTTTTTTCTTTTTTTTTTTGTGTAATAAAAAGAACAAGAAACATCTTTGTTTGAGTTACAATTGTTTTGAAGTTGTAATTTTTATATGAATAATCAAGTTTATGCAAATGGGTAAAGCTAACTCAGATCAAAGACTGGTTTTTGTTCTGTTTCATAGTCGAAGACACTAGCTTTACTTATACAACAACAAGAAGTTTTGTTTTTTTTTTTTTTTTTGTTTTATTTGCCTTGTCTAATGTTTCCGTCGAAAATAGGAGAAGCAAATGAAAACAGAAGTAGTAGCAGCAAAGAAAGGGTTAATCTTTCTTTTAAGATTGAGAAGTACCCAACAGATCTGTTACAGAGATTCATGTCAAGTGAAGCACAAGCTTCAACAAGAAGTGAAGGAGAAGAAGAAGAAGAAGAAAAAGTGGAGCTGAATCTTGGGTTATCATTAGGAGGTCGATTTGGGGTTGATAAGAGTGCAAGGAAGTTGACAAGGTCATCATCAATTGCTGGTTCGATACCGATGTTTAGAGAAGATGGTGCTAATACTCCACCACCGGTTCCTTATCCGATTCTCATAAGAACCTCTTCTTTGCCTACTGAGACTGAGGAGGAGTGGAGGAAGAGAAAAGAGTTGCAGACTTTAAGAAGAATGGAAGCTAAAAGGAGAAGAAGCGAGAAGCAAAGGAGTTCAAGAGAGAAGATGGAGGTTAATTTATTAGAGGAAGAGAAGCAAGCTGGAAGGGCAAATACTATTGGGGTGGGACCACCTTTGGGGTTGCAGAGTTGGGCTGCAGCTGCAAGGCAGGTGATTTTAGGAGGAGGGAATGAAGCGATGGGGGTGAAAGGGAAAGGTGGTGGTCTTGCGGCTGCGTTTTCACAAGGTTCTGTGCAGCCTTGTCCTCAAGGGTCTATGGAATCACAAGGAGGAAGTTCTTCTTGTATGTCAGAAATGGAAAATAAAGCCCTTCAAGGTACTTTCTGCAACATTATCTACATGGGATTTTATGTGCATTTGGTTTCAATTCTGAGATATTTTTAGAACAAGTTTTACAGTTTGTTTGATACGTAAGAAAATTTTGTGTAGATAGTTTCAAGTGGGTTGACATTTTTTTGGTTAGGCTTTTGTAGCTTCATATTGGAATTAGGGGTTGACTTCAGCTGGGCTATAGTGGCATTACCATTATCTTATTATTTTCTTCTGTTTTTTCAATTAATCTATTTGAAATTGAGGATTGATAATTGTTTGTAAAGATACTAAACTTTTAATCTTGAAAGATTCACTATCTTAGCTAGTCTAAGTGCCCATTTGGATTTCACTGCACCTCTCACCCTACCGTTAATTGAATTCAAATGCTAATTTTAGTGAAATTTATTCAGTAAAAGTTTTTTATTGAATTTTTTTTTTCAACTGCAGTTATAATATATATTTTTTAAATAATAATACAATAATTTTTATTATTATTTTCAGTCTCGTTACAGTCAGTCTCATCGACTATTTAAATGGAGCACAAGTCTAGACTAGGTTCCTTTAGATTTATTTGTAAGTTAAGAAAATTATTGAATTGGAGTTTAATGAACTGTAAGCAGGCTTGGAAGGGCTACTGATCTGGAATGGTAACTTGACACATTGAATGTGGCTGTCCTTGTAGATGTCAATTTAAACAGTTGAAAAGTTAAATTACATATCATCACTAGTTAACACTCTTTGGTCATCATTACGAGAGAGATTGGTGCCTTAGTTTGAGCTAAGGTTTATTGTCGGGTTTAGAGCCAGTAAATCCTCTTACAAGAGACAATTAGTAAATAGGAGTCATGCACTATAGCCGTATGTTATGTGCAATGACAGAACTTAAAAGTCATGGATAGTTTCTTGATAAAACTACTTATTTGCAATGTGGCAACATGATTGAGAATAACTGGATATTCAAATAGGAGTGTACATACAGATAAAATCATCATTGATTGAAGTTGCTTTAACTGCTGCTTGGATTTATTGGATGAACTCCTTAGGAGTGATTGCTTGGTTTTACATACCCCGAATGACACTTGATCTAATCAGCAGACATTTTGCAGCTTTACTTGGAGGAGAACCATAATGGTTTCTCCTACTTTTTCCAGGTAGTTTCACTCTCTATTTTCACTTTACAGGTTTAACTTCTGTTTGATTCATCATTGGTAACGTGGAAGATTTATAAATTTAATCCATAAGTGCCAAACTTGTTTTGAATGCTCCTATGTTCATAGGTAGCAGCCTAACCTCTAGCATGTTGGAATTGGTGTTGAGAATTTATGAACAAGCTATTGATTACTCATTTAAAGGGCGTGCCTTGGAGCAATAGTAAGGTTGTTCCTTTGTGACCGGAAGGTCACGGGTTCGAGTCTTAGAAATAACCTTTTTGCAAAAAATGCAGAGGGAAGGCTGTGTATTATGGACCCTCATCCCAATCCTCGCAAAGCGAGGAGCCTTGTGCGCTGGGGTTTCCCCCCCCCCCCCCCCTTTTTTTTTTATTGATTGCTCCTTTGGTTAAAGAGGAAAGTGGGCATTCATCCCCGCCCCCCTCCCCTACAGGGAGTGGCTGGTTTTCATCTTCTTACCATTTCATGCATTGCAGGAGCAAGCAGCTGTGGTGAAGCACGAAGCTCTGGTAGCACCCAGTCCTTGCAAGATCAAGCCAATCAAGAGGCTATGGGTTCATCGGGGACAAAGACAGCTGAAAATAGGGGGAAAGAAAGAGGGAACACGATGGAAGATATGCCTTGTGTTTTCACAAAGGGAGAAGGTCCTGATGGGAAAAGAATAGAAGGCATTCTGTACAAGTATGGAAAGGGAGAGGAAGTGAGGATAATGTGTGTATGCCATGGCGATTTCCTCTCTCCAGCAGAGTTTGTCAAGCATGCAGGTGGTGGTGATGTGGATCACCCTCTTAGGCATATAGTTGTAAACCCTTCCTCTGCTTCCCTTTTGTAATGTGGAGGCTATGGCACCCCCTAAAAAATGGGGATGTGAAATCGGGAAAAATCGAAAATTAAAAAATTTTAGAAAACAGTTTTTTTTAATCACATTTTCTTTTCAAAAGTCTGCAATATTTTATTGACTCTTGCCGATGTATCCGAGGAGAGATTTTCAAAGGCCTCTCTTTGGATTATTTGGTTTCTTTTTCCCATGTATGTAGAGTAGATAATTTGATGATATTATATAAATACGATATGGAAGTAAAATATATTTAAAATTATAATAATAATTATAAATAAATTTAATAAAATTAAAAAATATATTTTATATTTTTATATTAATAAAAATCATATTACATATTTTGTTGTGTAAAATATAATAAAAATATATAAATCGAACAATGATTATGGATATGGTTTGTTCTTTGTCCTTTTGCAATCACTTTATGCTCTACGGGGCATTGTTCTTGTAAGTAAAGTTGTAATAGAGTCGAGTTAAGTTGATATAATAAAAAATTTGAATTTGAGTTCGATTTTTAACTCGTGACTCGATATTTGGTTTGAATTCGATCGAATTTTATTTTTTTAATTCGAGCTTGATTCGTAATCGAATTCGAGTTATTCGATTTCGTTCGATTAAGCTTGAAAATATGTAAAAATAAATACGATTCTTATATTCGATAAGAGTTCGATTATTTGTGTTCGAATTCGAAATATTTTATTAATTAAAATAATAATAAAAATTTAAATATAAAAGATTGATTAAGCTCGTAAGTTACTCGAACTGAATATAAAAATATTTAAATTTTATTCGATCGATAAGTTGAGTTATTCGAACTCAAACTCAATTCGATAATAATCGAATCAAATTCGAATTTTATTCGAATCGAACCTGAGTAGCTTGCGAGTACTAATATATTATTTACATCTCTACTTGTATGTTGACAAAAAAGCCGCAACGCTTTTTTTTTTTTTTTTATTTCTCACTAGAAAAAGTTCATGAATCTATAATACAAAATATATTTTAAATTATCCCTTAAACAAAATCACATGTTCTGATATTGATTTAAAAAGAAGCCATTCTTTTTTGAATAATTAAATATAATAAGGTTAATTATAAAATAGTCCCTATTAGGATTAATTATAAAATAATCCTTATATCATTTATTTTTTATTAATTTAATTCTCGAATTTTTGTTTTGTCATTCACTTTGTTATTTCAAACCAATGATATTAGTTAATTTATTGATATGACATTAATATCCATTAAGACGATGACATGTAAAAAAAAAAATTTAATCAGCACGATATCATCAATTATTATGTTAGTATTAAAAAAAAATTTTAAAAATAAAAGATTTAAAAAAATTCTTAAAATTTTAAAAATAAAAAATTTTGAAATATTTTAAACAATTATAAAAATTTAAAAAATGAAATATTTTTAGAAATTATAAAAATAAAAAATTTATGAAAACTTAAAAAATAAAAAAAAATTAAATTTTAAATAAAAATATAAAAATAATTCACAAATAATTATGAAAAATTCAGAAAATAAAAAATTTAATGAAAATAAAATTTTCTTAAAATAAAAAAAAAGTTCACAAAAACTTAAAAAAATCTAAAATCTAAAATTTTTTTAAAATTTGAAAATTTATATAAAATTCTTAAAAATTTTCAAAAATTCTGAAAATTAAAAAATTGCAAAATTTTGAAATATTCTAAAAAATTATAAAAAATTGGAAAATAAAAACTTAAAATTTAAATAAAAATTAAAAAAATCTGAAAATTTCATAAAATATATAAAAAAATTAAAATTGTAAGATTAAACAAAAAAAGAAAACTCTTCATAATTTTTAAAAAAAATTTAGATTTTTTAAAATAATTTTAGATTTTTTTTTATTTTCAATTGATGATATAACGTTGATCGGATATTTTTAACATATATCAATATCTTATTAGATGTTTATGCCATATCAACAAGTTAATTATTGGTTTTAATATCAAGCATCAAAGTGGATGATAAAATAAAAATTAAAATATCAAACTGATAGTTTTAATTTTTTAAAAATCAAATTAACAGAAAATATATAGTAAATGGGTTATTTTTATATTTATCCCAAGATAATACATTTTCATTTTCTACGAAATGATACAATAATATATGGATGGGTCAACCGTGAAATTTGTAGCTTAGTAACAAAGAAGTCAATGCTTTACAAGTTACAAAAATGCTACAGATCAACCCAAAGACTTTAAAGAGATAAGCAGGCGTAGTATAGAAGTCAACAGGGCAGCATTCCAGGGAGAAGAAGACTCGATGACTTGGTTAGGTAAATGCAATTGCTTATTATTCAGCATGATTTTTTTTTTCTTTTTTCTGCATTTTAATGCTATATCTGCAAGTGATCTTTGTTTGTTTTGTGCTATTATGTCATTGGATTGAACACTGCTGTTTACCAGTTGGATCATTTGTCTTTCCTTTTCAATGGAATGTAGCAGATTGGATTGTTTAATACTTTGTGAGGAATATGAAGTCTTGTCCACTTGTTTTCCCACCCTTTTTTTTTTTTTTTTGTTTTGGAGAGGGGTTGTTGAGGTTTTATGAGAGGGGATTTGCAGCTATGCAGTTTCGCTGGAAGTGAGTTGAGAAAACTTGTGTACACATAACATTTCCTTTCCATATTTCAGAATTAACTAAAACAAATTGAAGCTATAATCCTGTCATGCATGAAGACAATTAATTTACAGGAGAAATATGATATTTGTCTTGGCAGAATTTGTCCCATTTATAGTTCTTCTAGTGATTGGGGAGTCTGCTGGAAGACCACTACATGCACTTCCAAGTAAAGTAGCTGATAGACAAGTTGAGCCCCTACAAACAATTCGACCATATAATATTGCTCATCGAGGCTCAAATGGGGAGTTTCCTGAAGAAACTGTTGCAGCATACAAGGTATCTTTTTGTTCCACATCAGATTCTTTCTTGGATTTATTTCATTTTTACTTCTAGTTTGAAAATGTAATTCATCAACATGTTGTGTATAGCTGTATAATTGGTGGATCATTCATTTGATCTGAAAATATATATAGAGTCATGCTTCTATTTAGCCCTTCTTTTTTGTTTTTTCCAAATATTTCTGTTTCTATTATCTTTTGAAAACATAATGTGAGTGATTCAATCCTGTTTAGAACCCGAATTTTTTCTTAATGGCAAAGCAAAATGTTGGCTGTAATCAATGAATGGTCATTGATTTAGATCACTGATTTGCATTCAACCCTGATATATTTTCACATTGGATCTTGACCTCTATATATTTTATATGCTTTATCTCTTTATTACTATTGGTGAAAGATGTTGTTTCAAACTCTTGGCTGTTTCTTCCAGAAAGCTATTGAAGAGGGTGCAGATTTCATTGAATCAGACATCCTTGCCTCTAAAGATGGTGTCCTTATATGCTTTCATGATGTAACACTTGATAATACCACTGATGTTGCAAATCATAAGCAATTTGCTAACCGAAAAAGATCATACGAGGTCCAAGGTGTAAACATCACCGGATGGTTTGTTGGTACTAAAGCAATCCCTTTTCTTTTTTTCTTCTGAATTTCTTTGTCCACTGGTTTGTTATAAAAATACCAACAAGTATGAAGTTACTCATTCAACCATTTTACTGTCAATGAATCTGCAGTTGATTTTACACTGGAAGAACTGGAGCTATTACGGGTGAAGCAACGTTATGGATTCCGAGATCAACAATATAATGGTCTGTTTTATTTTACTCCATTGATGTTTATTTCTTCACCATCATTTTACCTAGAATGAATGTGGCAAGCTTATGAATGAGATAGGAATAAGTTTTGATTTGCTAAAAATGGTTATGCAGGGAAATTCTCGTTGATTACTTTTGAACAGTTCATCTCAATAGCACTGGATGCAAAAAGAGTTATCGGAGTCTATCCGGAGATAAAGAATCCGATTTTTATCAACCAGCATGTAAGTGGTTATCCTGGAGGTTTGAAACATATGGATTTCACAAAATTTACCTGTTAATTCAGTAACTAGTGCTTCCTAATTCGATCAAGTATTTGATAAGGACATTTTGTTGTGTTGTATAATTTCTCATCTTTAAGCTGTTACAACAGGTGAAATGGTCTGATGGAAAAAAGTTTGAGGACAAATTTGTGGAGACACTGAAGACATATGGATATAAAGGGTCTTATATGTCAAAAGAATGGCTGAGGCAGCCAGTCTTTATCCAGTCTTTTGCTCCTACTTCTCTCATACATATTTCAAACCTCACAGATTTGCCAAAAGTTTTGTTAATAGGTGATCTGGCAACAAGAACAGAGGACACTAACCAGGTTTATGCATCATTATCCTGATAGAAATTTGCATGAAGAAGTTACGCATAGTAACAATCTGGTGCATTTTCACTAACAGTAAATAAATGTTTTTGCAGTCATTCTTTGAGATTACTTCAGATAGTTACTTCAATTTCATAAAGAACGATGTGGTTGGAATTGGACCCTGGAAAGATACAATTGTACCCTCAACCGATAATTACTTAAATGAAGCCTCTGATCTTGTTACCAAAGCCCATTTTCATGGGCTTCAGGTTATTCCATCTCAGCTTGGAAATGCAAAGTTATGTTTCTGTTACTTTGTTTTCTGATTGTTTACTGCTTCCTGCTTTTTTCCCTTTCAGGTGCATCCATACACCTTCCGAAATGAAAACTTATTCTTGCACTTCAACTTCAGCCAAGATCCGTTTGAGGAGTATGATTACTGGATAAAAAACATTAAAGTAGATGGACTCTTCACAGACTTTGCAGGCAGCCTGCATAATTTCCAAGAATGGACCTCCCACGTCTCACCAAAGTGAGGGTGGAGCATCGAAGCTACTTCATAAGATTGCAAAAATGATTTCCTCGTACGAAGGCAATGAAAAACTTCATTAATTAAGTTCTACATTTTTGCATGTGCTTGCTAATAAGTGGTTTCTTGCAGTATCCATTTTAATCATCTTTGAACCAATGTTATTTCTCCTGTGCTTTTGAAAGGAACCTGCCTGGTGATGAATGACATACCCTTTAGGCGTAGGAATTGTGGACAGAAATATCGCAATCACCATGTAATAAATGCTCATTACAGGAAGAGTTTCCAACCAAAATCTTTACCAGAAAAATTAAAAATCTTAATACCATCAAAATGAACTAATGAAGTAAAAGATCAGGATTCATAAAGGTAAAAATCCA